AACATCAATAGCGAGTATCACTCACCTTCGATTCGCCGACAATATAGTCCTTATGGCAGAATCGCTGGTGGACTTAAGCGCTACATTCAATGACCTCAATAGTGTCTCCCAACGGATAGGTCTTAAGATGAACATGGACAAAACAAAGATCATGTTTAATGTCCATGTCACACCTATGCCGGTAGTTGTTGGGAGTACTAAGCTCGAAGTTGTTGACAAGTACGGTCGCTCAGCGAGCTATGCTCGGGATTTCTCTGCGTGATAAACTTAGAAATGAGGATATCCGCAGTAGAACCATAGTGACCGACATAGCCCAATGGATTACTAAGCTGAAGTGGCAATGGGCCGGCCATATAGCTCAAAGACCTGACAACCGATGGGGAAAAAAGGTTCTCGAGTGGCAGCCTCGTACCGGTAGGCGATGTATAGGGCGACCTCCGCCAGATGGAGTGACGACCTGGTAAGACATGCAGGAAGTCGATGGATACAGGCGGCTCAGGACCGTGCTTTGTGGCATTCCTTGGGGGAGGCCTATGTTCAACAGTAGACTTGTGAAGGGCTGTAATGATGATGATGAATGATGATGATGGTCAAGCGCTACAAGAATATCTGTCAAAATAACCGTTTTGTGTGGCCTAAGCTACTTACATTTTAACCATTCCAAATGTAGTTATGTGTCCTATAGTCGCAAACATGAAGACGTCTACGGGCACAGCTTAGATACTGACAATGTGCTCGTATGTCACTCTTATTTTATACTTAACGAAATCCGGTTGTTTTCAACTATAATCTAAAAGGTGAACATGTTAAAAGGGCTTTTGTTGATGGTTTGAGTGAGGTGATGAACACCTCTCATCATAATTTTGATTTTATATTTGATGTTTAATTTTTATATATCCAAGTAACATAGGAAGCGTTTTAAAAACGAATAGTGAACATATATATAGAACTTAAGGGTCGTATAAACTCTTATATACCTAAGTTCACCGAGCATCTTGACGCTTTACATTGACATTTTCCAAACCATTATGATGCTTTACACTGTATAACGGTTGGACAATTGCATATTATTTTAGTTTTCTGTGTAAGGAAAATATTTTTACATAATACTCTAATCGTGGATTTAAATGTCGCCATTCCCTGTCATTGTACCAAGTTTCAAAATGGCGAGATAATTGATATTCATAAAAATATTATGCAATTAACTTCTTGTTTTCAGGACAAATGTAGTGCGACTGGCACTTTATCGTGATACTTTAAGATAATAGTGCTATATAATATACGGGCCTTTCGAAAGTTAAAATTTTTGGAGATATTTTAATGAAATAAGAAACATAAAATGCGGAAGTTGGTGTAAAGTAACATTATAAATAAAACTTCAATTTTAATAAAATCATACACTTTAAATAGTGAATGAGCAAAAACGCACACGCTCCTTAATCTACTAAAAATTGATTTTTTATTACATTTTTTTAATTTTCGTGAAAAAATATGGCTGGCGTGAGGAAATTACTCTAAGGAATTAAAATTAACTTTTTTAAAACTGCAAAAGCTTAAAGCTCTCAATGTTTGCCAAAATGAGAGCTAAAGGTAATCTCGCGGAGCTACTTAAAACTATAAAGCTATTTTCACAACTTAAAGGTTATCGCCAGGAGTAGTTTAAGACTTACCAGTCGCAAAAACAACCTCTGAGCACAATTAGTTGCTTTCAAGTTTTGGTTGTAGCCCGACTTGCGTTCGATCGATGGTTACAAAAGTGTGCGAACTACTACAGGCTGTTCTTCGAAAGAAAGTAAGTTAGAATTTTGGTTTTGTTACTTTTAGTGTTTTGTAGGTAGATGAACGACGGAAGGGGATTTCACAAGGAGTTCTTGTGAAATATATCATCCCTTTCCTCCTTTAAAAAAAAAAGAAACAAACTACATACCTAGTAAGTATAATATATACATAGTAAGTACCGAATCAATTTAATGATTAATTGATTTTGGGTTTCAATTAGAAATAACATGAAAGGCGATAAAAAATTAATCTACACCTACAAATTAGTTGTCCGCGCGGGGATGGCGGGAAGTCACTGTGTGAAAATAACTGTTTTTATATTTTGAGGCGGACTGTATATCCTAAATAAATGCTAACGACGAAGTAGTAAAAATCCAAGGTAAAATAATAGAAAAACTGCAAGATATGCAGAGTAATCAGAAAAAAATAATGCAGCAGCTTGCGAAGCATGAAGTTCTATTAAACGAATTATGATGTAAAATGGCTGACTGTAATGCCACATTAAAAGTTACCAATCAATAGAACTCCTTGGAAGAACGTTTTCCTCCACTCAAAATAGTGGAACAGCTTTTTGAGCTGGATGATAAATTAAAAAATCCGGATTAGGAACCAAAGGGGCCAATATTTGCTACAAGATAATAGAACTTTTTCCAGAGAGCTTTTAACATTAGTATCTTGGAGTGGCAACTCTATGGACAAAAAAGATTGCATACAAATTTTTTACGCATATTCATATATCAGATTCTCTGTAATACAAAATGCTGACAGTACTGTAGGTCAGCTAGATAATGATAATTGTATAAAAGCAATAATAAAAAATTCTTATCAACGTTTCCAGGCGGCCTTAAAGCCCGTTTCAGTAAGTACGCCTAAAAATCGTAAAAAGGTCCAATGTTGAATCACAAAATGACGCCACAGAGCCAACTGCAGACGAACTTGAAGTTCAACAGCCCTCAACCTGTGTTGCATAGCAATGAACCAATCTTCGTTCACTAGAATTTTTGCACATCATACTGTTCTCTATTAGCCAGTTGGCTATTTGAGCTAAGGGCTTATTACCGCTACCAAACATATTTTTCACTTCATATAAGTTTGACTAAAATGAGTAGGCTATCGATTGCATTGATACTACATAAGCATGATAATGATCTGTCGAACAAATTGTAATTGTACAAAACAAAATCAGAAAATTTTCATACACGTCATCTCGTATCACCCCTTTTAGTACAACAATCCAGTAATGTAATAGAAATTCTGTATTCCAATGCTTTCCAAAATGATAAGCAATCCAATCCTCTTATTTTTCTGTGTAGCTCTTTAGGCAATTTGAGGAATTGCTTTTTTAAAGATAATTCTTTGTTTGTTTTACTAAGCCATTTCAACGACTTATTTTTGAAATATCCATCACGCCAACCAATGAGAAGCCTTTTTACTATGGCCAGATCTATCAAATGGAACGATTCTGCTACTGGAAAGGCGTTAATCATGTTGATTGGAAGTTTCAAAAGAGGGAAATCCATCTTGTGATGATATTCATCGTATTTATTACGAGTCAGTCCTGTTCGGGAAGATTTTGTTCGGATAGTAATTAATGTGAGACACGGATGTATACTCTTCTCCTATAGAGCATTTATGACAGCCGTGTTGAGAATTCGTCACTCATGTAAAAAAAAGTAATTATACTGACTTAGGGTTTGAAACCTGATATGGAATGCATTGCATACAGCAACCTAATGCTTTTGAAAATATTTTCAACAGGTACAGGTTTATAAGGTAAGATTTCCGAAAATAGGAAACTAAAAAAAAAAATTGCACCGACTTTTACAGCTTCTACTTTCTTTTTACTGAGGGGTTTTAATAACATTGATTTCATGTGATTATTGTAGAAAATTTACCAAATAAATAAGCTAATTTGGTCACTCCTACTTTTGATGTATGAGCTTGCTGGAGAATAACATAAAAATTTTTTTAAAGTTACCGCTATAGTATAATCACCAATTTTAATAGCTTGCTTTAAAATTGTGTTCATTTCATCAACTAATGGTGGCAGGAATTCGTTGAGGTCTAGTGGTTTTCCTTTTCCATAATAAATACCAATAATCATTGGTTTAGGGTCCAAATTGTCAATGTTTATCGTAATTAAAATGTCTTCGTCAGCTTTAATATCATGAAAAAATTCTCAAAGCATGCTTCAAGTCCATTGTGCCAGTATTAGCCCTTAATAATTTTTATTTGAATATTAGCACTGGAAGTATTTAATAAGGATCTCGGGTCCTTAAGAAGTTTCAGATTAGTTCGTTTGTTCAATATGTCTAAAAGGTTTTTTAAGGCAACATGTTTAACTTTGTATTTCAAAGACCACATTCTTAATCCTTTGTTGCATCAACACGAGTTTTTAATGTAACAGCTTCAAAGTCAGAAAAATCTTCAAAATTTTCAGATAAATCACCATCATCATCTGCTTTACTTTTTGTTATCCTTCAAATATTTCAGACGATGTCACGTCACTTGTGGTTGAAACTAAAGAGTTTTAGGTGGTCGGGTATCTATAAAAATAGTTAAAATCGGACAGCCAAACAACCATTTTTACAAGAGGAAATCCATCATGGATATAACATGCCGCGGGACCGGCTAAAGCGCATTTTGTACTTAAAAGCTCATATTTGGTAGTCACAATCTACTATACCTATTAACTGTAATAACATGATGACTTGAAAGTTACCGCTGTATTAATTATTCAGAAATTTTAACGCAATTTACGTTTAACATTTCCGCTTCGTTTTTTGTATCACACTGTGTCGGTCCATACTGTAAGACAATCGTTGCTTTGAAGTCGCGGACGCAACTGACATTCTCTGAGGACGTCTGTAAAGCTTTAAAATATTCTTGTAGGACTTTAATCATACCTTCAACTCTTAAGAACAGCTTATTACACTTATTGTACATACAATCCTTTAACCGATCGTTGCATACTGTCTTTGGAATAATGACATTCAAATCTTGTTTTTAGTAGACCTTGTTTTGTCAACGCCTGAGCCTTGTACGACATGTTTGCGTGCATTTTACACATACAGGTTTCCCTGGTATCAATGGAAGGAGCAATGACATAAAATGGTTGATGCTTCGTGAAATAATAATATGAGCACGGTGTGTTTGGATTTTCTTTCTTAAATTCTATGTGAAGTTTTTTCATTGTATCCAGTAAGTATCTTCTCTGCATTTTATTTCCATTTCTTGTCACTGTTCCTTTTTTTTGCTGTTGCTGTTGTGCCAGCTGTAGCTCTAGACACATCGTCGCGTACGAAAAATTGGTGAATTTTTTTCCTTAGCTGTAGTATGCTACGATTAGTCTTTGGTTTTTTACGATACTCTCTGTGTATTCCGAGTGTTTCTTTAAGCAATTCTGCCTTCTTTCTAGATCTTTCAATAAAGCCAGTATTGAAAATGCTTTTAAACAGTCTTTTCTCGCTGAGACTCCTTATCTTCTTGTACCGATCTTTAATAGACTTGGTCAAAAGATTATAGCTTTGCTTGTCTTCTGGTTTCTCGTTATTTTTCACTTCTTTTTGTTTATGTCGCATTAGTTTTTTCTTATATTTTTCACACAATCTCTTCAACTTTTTATTTTCCTCTTCCAATTTTTTGTTTGCTCTATATACTTTAGATTTAAGTTTCTTCACTTTTTTTCGTTCTCGCTCTCTAGACGGATTTGAAACCGGTGATGCGAGTTGTGGTTGGTGCACTGCTTGAATATCTTGTACTCTAGGTAATGGAGAACTTGGCGGTGTATCACATCTATAATACTTTGTAAATTCTTTCTTCTTTTCCTATATTCCCTTTGCCTTAGTTTCCAAATCAAATTAGCTTGTTTTCTTTCTTTCGGCGACAAATCTTTTGCTAATCTTTTCACTTTGTGGTAGTGCTCTCTATGTTTTTTTTGTTTTCTTCATATTTTTAGGGTTTTTTTAAGCCTATCTCGAAATCGCTTTTGCATTTCTGCTGCTGTTAAACCTGCTATTGCATATCTAATTTAAGTGAGAATAATTGCCATTGAAAACAATGTGCTAATGAAATAGGAGAAGTACATATTGAAAATGAAATAATAATACAAGAATCATATATAAAAAGAGGTATTGATTTACGTTTAACGCCACAATGTTTTCAACAGCACGCGAATGTCTCTGAAGATACTGATGATGTCTATTGTACGATATATTACTTTCCTCTATGATGTCTATGAAATTACCTTCAAAGTAACTCAGTATACTGGTAACTGAGGAGACAATTCAAGTACTTTGATCAAAAATACATTTTATTATAAGTATAAAAACATTTTAACAGTGGTAGAGCCACGCGGCAGCTTTGCTGTCGCACGTATGGGCCGGCTCAAACCGGGGTGGTACCACGACCTCACAGAATACCGGCGTGAAGTGGAAGCTCTGCTTCCGCGTTTCGTCTGGTGAGTGCAGGTGGCCGGAGGCCCAAATCCCCCCCCCCCCATCAACATGGTAGCGGAATTCAATGATAGACTACCCCAGGAGGGTACCAGCACCCCTGGAGAATCCCTCGCTGAGCATCCACGACCATGTTTTTCCACTTCTGAGCGTGGGTGCTCAGGCTGCCCCGCGTATTCTGGGGGGGGCAAAATTCCGCTCAAGACTAAAACTGCTCGGGGCAAACGGAGCAACAAGACCAAGGCGACCCCTGCCACGCTGTCCGTGAATTTCTGCAATATCAGGGGACTTCACTCCAACCTAAACGCCGTCCACTACCATCTCGAGACGGCGAGGCCGGCTCTGCTCTTTCTGACCGAGACGCAGGTGTCCTCTCCGGCTGATGTCTCGTATCTCTCCTACCCGGGGTACAAACTGGAACACTCCTTTGTGCCTCGGGCTGGAGTTTGCGTTTACGTCAGAGAGGACATCTGTTCTCGACGCCTCGGCAGACTTGAAGGTTCGGACCTGTCCACCCTTTGGCTACGCGTAGACAGCGACGACCATCCGCGCATCTACGGGTGCCTCTATAGGTCCCACAGCGGTAATGCCGAAACAGACCGACTCTTCGACCACGTCCAAATGGCTGCAGATTCGTTGCTACAGCAGATCCCCTCCGCAGAGATCGTGATCCTCGGCGACTTTAACGCCCATCACGCCGAATGGCTCGGTTCACGTTTAACCGATCATGCGGGGAGATCTGTTCATGATTTTGCCTTGTCATATGGTCTGACACAACTGGTTACTTCGCCTACGCGGATTCCAGATGTGGAGGATCATGCACCTTCCCTGTTGGACCTTCTGCTGACCTCTCACCCGGACGGATATCAGATTTCCGTCGACGCCCCTTTAGGCTCCTCGGACCATTGTCTTGTCCGGAGTGTGGTGCCACTCACGCTGAAATCGCGGTTGCATTCTGCAGGCTGCCGCCGTGTTTGGCACTATAGGTCAGCCGATTGGGATGGGATGCGGTCTTTCTTTGCATCCTACCCTTGGGGGCGGGTTTGCTTCTCGCCGGACGATCCCAACGTTGTTGCGGATTCTGTCGCTGATGTGGTACTTCAGGGTATGGAACTTTTTATTCCTTCCTCTGTGGTGCCCATTGGAGGCAAATCTCAGCCATGGTTTGGTCGCTCCTGTAAAATAGCATCATGCTATAAGCAGGAGTGCTACCAGGCCTGGGCTGACGCATCAGCGTCCAGGGATGTAAACACCAGCGCTCTAAAAAAGAAGTATAATTCCGCCTCTAGGTCCTTCAAAAGAGTCATTGCCAAGGCAAAGTCAGAGCACATAGGCAGAATTGGCGATAAACTAGTTCGTCTTCCTTCTGGAACCCGTACATTCTGGTCTCTCGCCAAGGCTGTCCAGGGGAATTTCTGTCAGCCATCTCTTCCATCTCTGCACAGGGAGGACGACTCACTGGCCCACACCGCAAAGGAGAAAGCCGATCTTCTAGGCTCTTTCTTTGCGTCCAACTCGACTCTCGATGACGGGGGGAGTACGCCGCCGACCATCCCGCGGTGTGAGTGCTCCATGCCGGAAGTGCAGTTCACTCAGCGCTCGGTTCGCAAAGCACTCCTCTCCCTGGACATCCACAAGTCGAGTGGGCCTGACGGAATCCCCCCAATTGTGCTGAGGATGTGTGCTCCAGAGTTGGCACCGGTTTTAACGCGTTTTTTCCGGTACTCCTACTCCCTAGGCGTAGTCCCAAAATCATGGAAGACGGCTTTCGTCCACCCGATCCCTAAAAAAAGGCGACCGCTCAGACCCGTCCAACTACCGGCCTATCGCCATCACCTCCTTGTTCTCCAAAACAATGGAGTCCATTGTAAACTGCCAGCTCATGAGGTACCTTGAGGATCACCAGCTGATTAGTGACCGCCAATACGGTTTTCGCCGTGGTAGGTCAGCTGGTGATCTTCTGGTCTACCTAACTCACAGATGGGCGGAGGCAGTAGAGTCCAAGGGGGAGGCATTGGCCGTTAGTTTGGACATTGCGAAGGCCTTCGATCGGGTTTGGCACAAAGCGCTTCTTTCGAAGCTCCCTTCCTATGGGCTTCCCGAGAAATTGTGCGATTGGATCACCAGTTTTCTTGCAGATCGGAGCATCAAGGTCGTTGTAGACGGTGCAAGCTCCGATTGCAAGCCTATTAATGCTGGTGTTCCACAGGGCTGCGTGCTATCGCCAACGCTGTTTCTTCTGCATATCAATGATATGTTGCAGACCCGTAACATTCATTGCTATGCAGATGACAGCACTGGTGATGCTCTTTACACCGGCCGAGCCAATATTTCTCGGGAAAACGTCTCCGAGTGCCGGGACAAACTTGTGTCTGAAGTCGAGTCTCTGCTGGACAGAGTCTCGGATTGGGGGCGACTAAATCTAGTCCAGTTTAACCCCAGAAGACACAAGTTTGCGCGTTAACCGCTAAAAAGAACCCCTTTGTCGTATCCCCTCAGTTTCAAGGCACTCCCCTTGTTGCCTCAGCCAGTATCGGAATCCTCGGCGTCGACATATCGAGTGACGTGCAGTTTCGTGGTCACTTGGAAGGGAAGGCCAAATTGGCCTCTAAAAAGCTTGGCGTGCTCAGCAGAGCGGGACAGTATTTCATGCCGGCACACCGCCTGCAACTTTACAAGGCGCAGGTTCGGCCGCACATGGAATACTGTTCCCATCTCTGGGCTGGGGCTCCCCAGTACCAGCTCCTTCCACTTGACCACATCCAGCGCAGAGCGGCTCGAATCGTCGACGACCGAGTGCTTTCCGATCGGCTCGATTCTCTGGCACTGCGAAGAGATGTTGCATCCCTTTGCATTTTCTTTCGCATATACCATGGAGAGTGCTCTGAGGAATTGTTCGGATTAATCCCAGCCGCCAAATTTCGTGAACGCACTACGCGGCAAACGTCCCGATACCATCCTCACCATCTGGATGCTTGGCGGTCCACCACTGTACGTTTCAAAAGGAGTTTTCTTCCGCGTACAACCTCTCTGTGGAATAATTTACCACCAGCGATTTTTCCGGACCGATACGACCTGGGGACCTTCAAGAAAAGAGCTTACTCCTTTCTAAAGGGCCGGCAACGCGTCTGCAATTCCCCTGGTGTTGCAGTTGATCATGGGCGACGGTAGTCATTAACATCAGGTGAGCCACATGCTCGTTTGCCCCCTCTTCTATAAAAAAAAAAAAATCTGGTAACTCAGTTGACGGCACAAAAAGGTACGCGTACTCCCTGTGAGCGTTCGAGGCAGACTTTCTGTATATATTACTCTACTCTATGAGGCAGACCGATTGACTTGTCGGCACTCATCAAAGTTTCGCAGGCCGTTGTTACCGCATAAGACTTAAGTGAAGTTAGCAACAGCAAGACACACCATCTAGGCGTTCTATTAACGCAATTTTTGAGGTAACTTGGCATACACGTGCAAATGGTATTTATTGACGGACAGTCCTAAATTATTTTTTCTTCAAACACTTTATGTTTATTTAATATCAGTGGTTAATCATTATAAAGTTTATTGTTTTGTCTCTTTTTAAAATTAATTTTAAGTCAGGGTTTTATAGAAAAAAATTATTTCAACTGGAATTAACATGAGAGACTATGGTCTGGGGACAAGGACTTTTTGTATGGGAGCTCTTTTTGGTATACTGAGTTACCCTAAAAATCAAAACAAATTGTTAATTTTCAGTAACTTTAGAATTTTTCTAATGATGCCTGATTATTTGTTATGTGTTTAGAAGACCATTAACCTATAAAAAACTTTTGATTGAGTCATGAAGTAAAAAAAACCTGCTAGGGACACCTAAGTGTGGGTGAAAAAGTTGATCCACTCAAATACCACTTAGACTGGATATTAAAAATGATGTGTTCTGTAATAAATCGTATGTTACTACTAATAAGGATTAATATTAATGATATTAGGAGTAAGCGTATCACCTTTTAGTTGTGAAGTAGTCGTAATATCAGTTTCACCTATATATTCTATCGCGCTCACGGTTTGTTCGGTATTCGAATCCATGTTGTATATATTTAGATATTTTACGTTTTCGTTTCGAGTAGATATTAGATATTCTGCGATTCATACAC